AATCTGTCTCATTATAGATTTCAAGGTGTATTATAGTTTATCTTCTTAAGATCTGATTACAAGCTAGAGAACATCACAATTTATTTTGGAGGAATGGCACAAATTTATACACTTAGTCATTATTTTCTCACTAATAAAGTTTCCGTTTGGTTTTGAGTGTTGTTTGGTATAGCAGTGTCTACAGAGAATGCACACTTAAGTAGATAATCTCTTATATGAAACACTGCTGAACTATGTAAGGGCTTTCACCCCTACACAATATCCTTCTGCTTTTCATCCTGCTTTATATACCCCCTTTTTCTGCTTTTTTCATCATTCTGTCCCCTCATTTACCAATCTGCAAGTCCCATTAAATGATTTGTAAGCCCACAAGTGAATATATGCAAAGCCTCTTTTACTCCATCAGCTTAGTGAGCACTAGGCTAAAACACACCTTGCTAAAGTCCCTGTCACACAGTCTCACGCAAAGGTATTCTGCAAAGCGAACTAATTATCCCAAGAACAACACGTTCACACAATCCAAATATTCTTAGATAGACTGGGGATACTGGCCTAAAATATTTATATTCACACACTATCCATGCACTCATGCAAATACATAGGTACGCTTATTGAAAAAGCACACACGTACACATTCAGGCACGCCCGGGATAAGTCTGAGCCCTCTCTGTCTTATCGAGACGTGCCTCATCAGATAGGATTCTGCTTGTAAGGTCCAACCAATAAAAAGCCCAAATATTCCATTAAGTGTAAATCCTCTCCGCTGGTGGAGCTTGTGGAGTCAGTTTAGGACTAGACAAACACTGCCAAGCAGTCATGCCCAAGCTGGGACCACTGCCAACAAGAAGCTCCACAGATATTGGTGTGTCACTGTGGGGCACGTGCGTATATGTTTGTGTGCACGGGCAGCATGAAACCCCAATGTGAGCATTAGCAGGCAGGGGAATGAACAAACTAAAGCTCTGATCCATGCTGCTCAGTATAATGGAAAGGCAGAGTCTCAGGAATCTAAGTGGGTTGCAGCTGCAACACATAAGCTTTTGTTCTGTGTGTATGTGTTCACATGTGATGTTTTTATAATTTTTTTTCCCTTTTGCAACAAAACGGGAGTACACGTTGTGCCCATGTGTGTTGGTGCACACAAGCATTTACGCATTTTGTATACTCACAACACATTTGCCTGCTTTTTATTACTAAAATGAATTTGTAAGACACACAAATTCAGTAGCTTTCACTCTACTATGTAGCTGATTTGTTAGTGCGTTGGTCATATCACTGTGGAGTCTGTGTTTATTTAGTAACGCAGCTCTGTAGCTCTCTGTGTACTGCACAGACAGCTGCAATGTTTTAGGCAGAACAGACATAGATTTCTATCACTGACCCTAAGGCTGCTCATTAGAATTCTGCACACCTCTCTCAAATCTCCCGCTTCCCCCATCCACCCACCCTTAACTTTTTTCTCTCTCTCACTACCTTCCTTTCTTTCTTTCTTTCTTGCTGTCTTACACACTGGAAATGAATGCTTAGAGCAAAAAGGTGAGCTATTGGTTAGCCGAGATAACAATGACTGTGTGAGTAGCATACGCGGCAAGTCGCAGCTGACAAAACATACACAAAGGCAAGCAACGCTGCACAACTGCATACATGTAACTGCTGTTTGCATGTTTACAACATGCACTTTCACAGCTACTATATTTGAAATATTAACATTAAAAAGCTCAAGGCATCCATCATACCTGCATTAATCTGAGAGAATTATCAGCAGTCTCCCAACTTTAAGTGGATTTCAAGACTCTTTTAAGTGTGTCTTTTTCAGAAGGCCCACACAGTAACTGTGTGGCTTTGTATAGCTGCCACACTTGCCCCCCATAAGCAGCCATTTCCACATTTAGAAAGCTTAATGTTTAGAGATTTCTCATTTGAGGTCATAAGCCCATTGCTCCAGAGTTAGCCATATTGAGCGTCTTGCTGCCACCAGCTGCAAGTGTAAAATGTGTATTCTGTCATTGGTTGACAAGTAGTTGCCCGAGGTTGCCCATATGGAAAAGATATATATAAATCTTATAAAGTTTGTATCTGTCTTGTGTGAAACTTGTATGAAAAACATACAAGAGTGAAAACAGATATAAGATCCCTTAAAAAATTATATAAATGAAACTTGTATGTTTTGGATACTTACTAAAACAATATATGAAAGTAATGAGAAAGTGGCCACTTTCACGAGTAAAACCTTATATGATTCACTATAGGCCACATCTTATGCAAGTCTTTTATAAGTTTTTACTATTTCTTTTCCATATGGTTGTTGACTGACACTAGGTGAAATTGGTTGCAAACTTATCTGCAATCACTTGCAAACTGCTAGCTAAGCTACTTGAAAAAGTGGACTTTTATTTTGATGGGAAAAGTTCTCTGTCTATTTTGTGTCGCACTTTTCACAGTTTCACTACAACCTTAAAAGTAGCTGCTCAGTGTTTTTCCACGTTTGTTTTGGGGTTTTTTTGTGGACTTTGGATGACTGTGCCAATCTCCGACCAACCAAAGCAATTCCAAAGAGGCTTTTGCCACATCTTTCTTTAGTGTCAGGGAGTCATTGACTTGTCAGCAGATGTAGGTGACTGGGGCTTTTAGCAGTCGATTTCCCAGCAACTGCCATCAACCTCCAGCAACCACTCACCAGCTGGTAGGGGAATACATATTTTTCCCTGATGACCAGTGGTTTTTAGTTGGTTGTAGATGGGTCTCTAGGTTTGTGTGACTGGGGCCTTAATCACTTGGCCACATGTTCAAAAACAGAGCAAGTTAATGGTATGTCGTTAGAAGTCATGTGTCTGCAAAACCACCATATGAGTTATGAGCATCACAACAGTCAGACAAATCAAGTTAGCTTAACAATTAGCACACAAATAGTTCTAAGGCCAAACCAGAGGTAAAAAATGAGTGTGGGAGGGTGGACATGCCATGTCTGCTGAATACAAGAGTCAGTGGTTCTTTGCCAAACCAAAGCAAAACTTAACCAAACCCAACTTACTTCACCCCCTGGTTACTGAAAATTAGTACAGCTCTAAAGTAATCTTATAATACTGCTCATAACAGGTGTAAAGACATATAGTCTTAGTCATATAAATTCACTAATGAAAATCTTATGACACCAGGCTTGGATAGAAAACTCATTTTGATATATTAATTGCTAATGTTTGCTGCATCCATTCTTAAGTACTCAGCTGGGATTGGGGATGTGTGCTTTTGTGTTGGGGTTATTGTCCCTAGCTAATTGAGCAATTCCAGTGGGGGAGGAGTAGTGTTTAAGGTCATGGAATAACGTGGTCTCTGGAAGCAGTTAGAAAGCTCACACTTCCGTAATTACTCTGCTTTTATCTGTGTAGCAGCTAGAACCGCTAGACAAACACACATATAAGCAGCACTAGGCACATACTGTATCCTGAAGCATGTTCAAATTTCACACTGCACACATTTACCTGTATGAATAAGTGCTGCTTGCACACAGTGTTTTCCCCGCATGCAGTTAATTAAAAGTTACTTTTTGATATTTTCTATTTTAGAAGAAACTCTGTCCATGATTTCTGGAAATTGAACCTGTCATAAAAACTGAATTTAATGATACGTTTGAGATGTAAAGGAAACGTTTGAAAAGTCATGCTGAATATTTATACTGACATTGGATTGGGTAATGTGGAATGACAGGATGCCACATCACTTGATGGAAATGAAAATGATTAATCTACTGTACAGAAGGCTGAATTCGGACATCCCGAAAATCAAAGTGGAAAAATGATGCAGCAGACTCCATTTTGACAGACCTGAACAGTCTGAGGTGCAACCTGGCAGCGTTGGACGGCCTAAAACATAAAGTTCCAGAGGTGTTCGATTAGATTTAGGTCTGGCGAGTGTGGGGGTACAGTCATTGGTATCAATTCCTTCAATCTCCAGGAACAGCCTGCACACTCCTACCACGTGAGGCTGAGCATTGTTGGACACCAGGTGGAATCCAGGACCCACTGCACCAGGATGAGGTCTGACAGTGGGTCCAAAGATTTCATCTCGATACCTAATGCCAGTCAGGGTGCCGTTGCCCATTGGCTGTAGAGGTCTGTGCGTCCTTCCATGGTTATTCCTCCCCTGATGATCAGTGACCTACTACCAACCCAGTCATGCTGAATGACGTTACAGGCAGTATAACATTCACCATGGTTATCCAGACTCTTTCAGGTGTGCTGAGGGTGAACCTGCTGTGATCTATGAGAAGCACAGGGTGCAAGTTTTGGCACCAATTGTGGTATTCTATGGCAAATGCCAATCTGGTTTCATTGTGCTCTGCAGTGACCATGAAGCCCTTTAGAGGATGTAGGTTCCTCATAAAGTCTGTTTCTGATTGTTTTCTCAGACACATTAACACCAGTCTGTTGGAGGTCATTTTGTAGTTCTGACAGTGATCATCCTGTTCCTCCTTGCAAAAAGGAGTAGATGCTGGTCATGCTGATGGGTTAAGGACCTTCTATGGCTCTGTCCGGCTCTCTTAGAATAACTGCCTGTCTCTTGAAATCCCCTCAATTCCCTCAAGGTCCAATGTGCTAGGACCTTTGCACCCTCTGTACGGTCCAGATTTCAGCTCACAGTACCAGTAGTGACACTGGCCCTAGCCAAACAGTCAGAAGGGATGAGGAGGGAAAAAGTCAGTGGCCTCCACCTGTAAAACCATTCCTATTGTCGGTGCTCATTGTTACCCCTCTAGTGCACCTGTTTTTAATTTCATTAACACCAAACCTCTGCTGCCAGATCAATATCCTACAAGTTTAATTGACTTGATGCTAAACCCTGATTAAAAAGTATTCCTTTACTTGTTTTCAGGAGTATATATCCAAAGCCTGTGCGTCTATGCATGTATGTGTGTGTTTGTTTGCATGTGCACGCATGCTTGATTGCACATGTGACTTGAACAAACGCCAACACTGGTGGCCCTATCTGTTTGTCCCATGCAGACGTTCTGTGAATGTGTGCCCAGCTCCTCTCAACTCAAACATCGCTGGTCAGATTCAGAAACAGCCAGGGAGACCCCAGCTAAGGTAAGGCCCCGTTATCACAACATGTACGCACATGTATACTTGAGCAATTTGTCTTTTTAACTGGTTGAATTTACACAAATCAAACAAATTATTTTGGCTAGAGTTTGAATTAGATTTCTGCAGATTAATATGTAAGTTGATATGAGGACTAGCAAACACTGAAGTGGATAGAAATGGCTAAATAAAAATAATCCAAACTGATATAATGTATAATATTATAATGACACAAATTAAATCCCCTTATTTCTTCCTCTATACTACGTGCACTGCTGTATACACTACTATCCACCATCCTCCTTTTTAGTCAAATCAGGGGCAGACATTGAATAGTTACTTGCTCACCTGTGGAGGAGATTATGTTTCACCGACAATTATTTTTTTAATCACCAGCCACTATCTCACTCCTTTAGAAATGAATCGTTGTGTGTAACACATTATATTTTGCCACTGAGAAGCAGCAATTGCACAACCTCAGCTCAAATACCCAGACGCACAAGAGGAAGATGGATAAGACCCTGCAGATACTCTGAACTGAGAGGGGAGGTCATGGCTACACTGGGAAATGGAGCCTGATTGTATAGCAGATTATAATGAAGAAACTGCACTGAATGCTGTTATGAGTCAGATTCAAACCGCCAGTGAATGAAAGGAGGGTGGAAATGGTGAACATGACTTCTTTTAAAACCAGTCCGTGCATGCCAGTTTAGCTTCAAAATATTTTTGTACTTTTCTGCGTGTATTAGTTTGGCAGCTCCAACGTGAATGTCTTCTGTGTATACATCGATTTGTGTCAGCATGTGCGTGTTTGTGTTTTGAGAAGAGGGAGAGAGGACGAGAGAGTGAGGATGCTTGGAAGAGTTTTGCTAGTTTCCTGCTTATCTAATGAGCAGGCAAAACCTTTTGTCCAAGAACTGTCTGCCAGTTCTCCTGCGTGGGAGGACATCATTTCCACAGAGAGGAATTCTCTCTAATTCTCTGCCTCTTCTTTCCGATCTATCTATCAGAATTCCCCAGTTCTCCTCTCAAATCCCATGGTGTGGCTTGAGTACAGAAAGGAGAGGACGTGAAAGTCAGCCACTAATTACAGAGTGGTCTCCTGCTGTGAGATCGAGAGTCTCATTTACAAAAAAAACCTAACTGTTAAGAGGCTGCTTGCATCCTGTTCTCACTGTCATTATGCCACTACAAATCTCAACCTGAGGTGGGAGACCGCGTACTCCAATGGGGCATGAAGCAGGTTGCTGTTTCATTTCATTTTTACTGACCATCAAAACACAATGCAAAAGAAAATCTCTGGCTCCAGAAACATTTTGGTTGGTTAATAATGCATAAAAAAAGGTTAAATTAGCCACCTTTGTTTCTAAAGTGGAAAAGATGCCTGGTTAGTTAATTTCTTTTTACACTTGCTCTGTTTTCTATTTCTTTTCTGTTGTCTTATCCCTATGCCATGTTTATTACTGGGAACATTGTTTGCCACAGCACAATAAAAAAATAAAATCATAAAATTATAAGATCAACTTAACCGAATAACCACCTTGTTGTTGAGCCAGTGCGTTTCTACAGACCAAAATATTACCTGTAAACAGAAGAATGAGTACATTTCCTGTGATTATTCTTCTGTTGAAAAATAAATAAATCCTCATCCTGTACTTGTTTGAGCAAACATCCTATAATGACACATAATTATGTTATTGTTAAGTGACCTCGTCTTTTATTGATATTGTAAGTTGTAGGAAAAATTGACATCCAAAGCAGTAGAACTTCCCAGGAGAAAAAAGGCCTTAACAAAAAAAAGTCAGCAAACCTTTTAATCATTTTTTTTAAAATTTGATTTGATGGAATACGTGTGTGGTGAAGTGTGGTTTGTGCAGGGGTGGGGTGGAGCAGTGGGTAACTGCCAGGGTATCCAAAAAGAACTATAATAAAGCACTGTTGACTGTGACACACTGAGTGAGTTGTGTCCTGTCTTCACAACATGCAATTTTGATGATTTTTGGTAATGGTTCAAAAAACTTTTCAAATAAGTGTCTATGGGCATTTCGAGATGGTGCTGAGTAACACACTTCTACAAGGACTGTGTCTCTGTCAGTGAACTGAGAGGTTTTCAGCAGTATTTCAGCAAATGCTTCCCAACAATGCAGTGTCTGTGGGCAGGAGGGTGAAATCTGGATTGACAGATTAGCAAAACACAGAACTTTAACACTGAACTGCACTTTTGTTGATTCATTGTTGTATTCATAAACATGAAAAACAGATTCTGCAGTCACGTTAGGGAAAATGGTGGTTTGAGATTGCAGCAACACCAAAGTTACTGCAACCATGTGCAATGAATTTGTGGTTTTGTTGCCCTTTGAAAATGTTTCTTTGAAGACGAACGGCAGGTATGTATGAGTGATCAAAGCAACTTTGGTTCATCAAACCAGCAATAGAGCAGCAATAAGACAGACTCAATAAGACTGGATTAGATTAATAACACTTAATAAGACACAGAGTTGAATGTTAGATAGCAAGCACTTAGATGTAGAAAAAAGTTCTTATATAAATGTGTGTGAATGAGACATGTTATATGAAGTGCTCTGAGTGCTCAGAGTAGAAAAGCACTATGTAAGAACCAGCTCATTTACCATAAATAAACTGGTAAACACAAAAGTAGAGATTCCTAAAAAAAATACGATTATTGTACAACAGCAATTTCACATAGGCACGTTCTTTTATAGAAACCAGTTGGCAACTAGTTAGGTCGAGTTGGGAGTCTCTCCACATTTATATATTATATGCCAATTATAATTGGCATATAATTATATTATATTATATTATATTATATTATATTATATTATATATAATTATATTATATTAGCCTTAATTTTTCAAGACTAAATTATTATTACAGATTCGATCATTGTCTAGTTACGGTTCAACATGCATGAAACACATCTACTCCTCTGTGTTCTGAATATGTTTTAATGTATAGAGGTCTGCCTGTCAGCATAACTATGACTATCATATATCTTTTCCATTCTACGTTAATAATCAGTGTGCTAGCAATGAATATTTAGTGTAGTGCCAGTGATAGCTTTCACTGATGTCTTGGCCCGCTAGCGATAGTACTCAGGCAAACCGTTCTAATGTTACGTTGCTGTCATTCTGCAGAGCAAGGCCATTATACACATTATGTACGACACAGACACCCCTCTGCACACACATCCATAGACACAGCCAAGCCCAGTGAGTTAAAATCACTGAGCCGCACCTCATACAAACTGGAAAAAAGAGAAACACAGTTTTGATATGTAAGGAAAGATTTTACGGTAAATTCTAAGTATAGTCATAAGGCCTACATGTTGAATTAGAGCAAGCAAACGAAAAAAAAATGCTATGTGCAGTATTATTCCCCTGGAGCTCATTTCTACGATGATGTATATGGGTGAAAAAATAAAGCAATGCGCCAGTTTTTTTTATGTTCTTTCTCCCAAAAAAGCATTATGGTCAAATTATGTAGGTCTCCATGCAACTATGTGTCCATGTGCATATATGCAGTGAACATTAAGTGGCATAAATGTGTGTAGTGTATCTAGTGTCTAGTTGTACAGTATGCAGTATGTTGCAAAATATTACATATTAGGACATAATAAAAAATTATCTGGTCATCACCAGCTCTTAAATTAGATAACAACAGAAGACACATTATACTGTCTCATTACTTATTTAACTAAAAAAAAAAGTACATTTGAAAAATTAGTACACCAGAAGATTCAGAACTTTTAGCAACAGTAACTAGATGGCTTTAGTCTGTCACATCATTGTGGAGGAATTTGAGCCCATTCATTACAATATTGTCTGACTTTATTGAGGTTTGTTGGGATTCATTTATGCACAGCTCTCTTAGGGCCCTGCTATCCAGTCGTTAAGTGATGACGTGACGAATCCTACTTCCGGGCCTAAAGTAGTCTGCGTTTAATATGGCTTTTGTGTTGTTAACATGTTTAATGCTTTGTATTTTCTTCTATTTAATCTCAAAAAGCTCCCTCGGCTTTTATTACCACTAATCATTTATTTAAGCTCAGTTTTTCAAACCTTAGGATGTAACTACAGCCCAGCCCATGCAGCAGTATATGAATGACTAACCTCGTATTGTGGATGGATTATCTCAGTTGTTCTCCTGGCTGAAGTTTGGTCCTTTTACAGCATCCTGCCATGCGATTACATTTGTTCCTGACCACCGAGAACACTAACGTTAACTTTTATCGAGTGGGAAAAAAGTTAGCTTGTTTATATTACGCTAACATAGCTGAGTCGCTAGCGGTCACATAGCACATCATTATATACCAGCTAGCCAAACTTCAGTAACCCTACAAACGTCACTGCTATTTAGTTTTCTGTCTTCATTTTGTTTCCAAAACCCCGCAGTCTTGACATGCTATATTGCATTTAGATAGAAGCTAGCGAGCTAACTTCCTGCTAACTTCTAACTCCGTTAAATGTCATAAATTCTGTTTTCATTGATGCCTGGATGTTAAACTCAATTGTTACACCTGGTAGAGCAGAAGTCTGATCATTTTATTAAAGATGAAAGACTTTAGACAGTTTTTCAACTCTCAGTAATGCCATAGTGATTGTTTGATATATGGACCTGCAGCAGAGTTTAGGCCCAGACACGGCTAGTGACGTCAGACTTAACGACCGGATAGGAGTTCTGTCAAGTTTAGGTCTGGACTTTGACATCTTGGTTCTGTTCTTTTTCAGCCATTTCGCTGTAGATTTGCTGGTGTCTTGGAAATATTATTATTATTGTCCTGTTGCACAACCCACTTTTGCCCAAGTTTATTTGTCACACAGAAGCTCCCACATTTGACTCTAGAATATGTGTGAGTTCAAGGTCAACAAGTAGCTCCGCAGAGCGGATCAGCCACTAACCAGAAGGTCAGTGGTTCGATCCCAGGCTGCTCCAGTCTGCATGTCAACCCCATGTTGCTCTCCAATGCATCCATTGGAGTGTGAATGTGTATGAATGTTAGGCACTTAAGCTTAGAATTGCTTGTGTGAATGGGTGTGATTGGGTGAATGAATTAGCTGCATAAAGCGCTTTGAGTGCTCGGATAGAGTAGAAAAGCGCTATATAAGAACCAGTCCATTTACCATTTAACTAAGGGACTGCAAAGTTCTCAGGTCCTGTGGCTAAAAAAAACTAGTCCAAATCAACATGCCTCCACCACCATGCTTGACAGCTGGCTTGATGTGTTTATGCTGACATGCTGTGTTTGGTTTTTGCCAAACATATTGGTGTGCATTAAAGCCAAAAATTTCCACTTTCATCATGAAACAGCTTTGCAAATTTAACTTTTTTTTTCTATGAGCATTATAATTTATTGAGCTAACTGAGGCTTAAAAAGTCTGAGATGTAGCGCTTTGGTTTTTTGTGGTCCTTTGGAAATAGGCTCATTACCTTCCCAAACAAATGGGGAGGATATAAGACCGTAATGAAGTAGCAACTGTTTCTTAAAGATCATTGCTAATGTCTTTCTTCCTTGGCTTTGTGTTAAAACACCTGAATGCCTCAGACCCACAAAACTGCTGCTTTTACTCAAGTGCTCACACTTTTTGATGATTAGTTAATCAAGTGTATTTGATTAGCAGCACCTGATTGCTTCTTACCCTCTTAAGGCAGTAAAGGTTTGTTTTTTTTCAGTTCCTGCATTTTGGCTTATTTTTGGTTAAATAAATAATGTCATAGTGAAATATGTCACATGTTGTTCATCTGAGAGCATCTTTTTTCCCATTTCAAAATCTGCTATGGACTTTTTTATTTTGTCCCAATGTGTAAAACCTTACTATTGAAAGAGGGTGTACTTTCTTTTTACCATACCTGTACACCAGTTAACACCCTTAACCTACTAATGTTGAGATCCTCATCATTTTTACCTGTCAGGGCATGGTTGCCCATGCCCTGTAGGATGATGCCTTATAGCATGTTCTGAAGCATCCCATCCCTCTGATGCTAAATCAAATTGGGTATTAGAAAGTATGGAGGCCTGGTACCCCCTGACACTTTAGCTGTCAGTAGTTTTAACAACATTGTTTATCATTACATCTGTACAGCAACTCATTTTTAAAAAATTAACGCAGGAGAGTTTTTGCAGCGACAGTGATCACACACATGTGAATGGTATCTCAAAAACAAAAGCCACATTAAGGTGCTTTAGTAAGCAATGATTCATGAAATTTCACTAAATGTAATCAACAGATTCTACTGGAGACAGGAATTAAAAAGAAAATAATAAAATAAGCCAAGTGCGGTTGAAGTAGTCATATTGGTTGTGTGTCTTGTGTGCTTCAGGTTTACAAAATTGGCATCCCATGTACACTTGCACATATCCAGGCAGTAACAACGTTTTATGTCTTCTATCCAAAGACTGTGGGTAAACAAAGTTGATAGGAGTACTTCCTGCACAACACAATTGATTTTCCTCACATTAAAAGAACTGTAAACCTCTCTCGTAAAGCAGGCCATTAGCTGTCTATTAGTGTGCTTCGCGGTGCTTTGTACAGCCAATTTACATATTAATGTGCTCACTCTCACTTTCACATGCTAACATAAACCAAAGCCCACATACAGTCATTGAGAACAAAAAAAATACAGACTGTAGAAAATAAAAAACAAAAATCACTTAGACATCAACTGGTGATTCATTTGTTAGAAAGATATTGGGGAGCTAGGAACTATTAATCATTCATATAGGCGGGCCATAGTGCTTTCTCCTATCCATTGCTTAACCTAAGTGGGCCATCATAAAAAAACATTTTATAGCCCAATTATTGAAGACTATGTTACCAGTACAGTTCCTCCATTTTTTCTCTAAGTGGTTTCTGCTCATTTATTTGCATCCGACTGGCCGTCCACATCATCTTTGCTTTACTCTTTCTCAGTAGCTCCAACTTCTTCATGTTTTCTTGTTTTCTTCTCCATGTTAGAACTGAAAAGAAGGAGCTCTCAGGTCCCTGAGTGGTTTCCAGACATGTATGAGGCTAGTATCCTCCCCCACACTGCATCACCACTCCAATGATAAGCAGGGTCTTTGGACAGAAATTGTCTCTTTGAGTTTTAATAAGGCCGACAGTTGATGGGATCTTTTTTTTTTTTTTGCTGCATAAATAATTCAAAACTACACTTTATCACGGAAATATGGTTACATTACTTAAAACTATGGCCCCGGTGATTGAAGAAAGTCATTTCTTTTTGAATAACTCAGCTTTTTTTTTATGTCATTTTTGGTGTAATTGCATTTACTTTTCTAAAACATACCTTTTCTCTGCCTACCTTTCTCCCTCTCTTCTTTCTGACTTACAGAGGATGAGCTGCAGCTACCTGCTCTGCACTATCCTTCTCTTCGTGGCTGTATTGCTGGCTGTCACTGTAACTGGCACCATCCTTTTCATGAATCACTATCAGGCTCCACCCATGTCTGATGGCCTACCCCACATTTCTACCAACCAGGATGAAGCCAATGCCCTGGTCACTGTTGAGAGAGGCGATGGCTCTCGCATTAACATCTTCATTGACCCCAACTGTCCGGATTACAACAGTAACTTTATGCGACTGGAGGGTGTGCAGACCTCATTGCTCCACTCACTGACCGACCACGACTCCGACTTGAAGTCTGTGAAAGGACAGGATCGGGCTCTGCTTGTCAGTCTGGCTGAGGAGGTGGCCAAGCTGTCAGCCCACGCAGGCCAACTGAAAATGGACTATGAATCTCTACGCAGGGGGCAGAGCAGCCTCGGGCAAGACCTTAACACACTGCAAACGGAACAGGGACGCCTCATACAGGTGAGACGCATAAGCAGAGAAACATTCCTTATACCTCAGTGTGATGTAAAGATCAATACCTCTTTCATCACAGGTTTTAGTTGAAGTATAAAAATATGAAACCATCCAGAGTAGTAAGCATCTTCAATTGTTTTGTACTTATTTTGGCACATAGAAGATTAGAAAGGGTTTTATTTCTTAAGAAGAAAGGGAAATTCATGCAGTTTGTGGGAAAACTATCAGTTTTGATTTGATTGTTTGTTTAGTTGTTGTTATTGTTTTCTTAATCAATGAACCAATTTGTGAACTGTATTTAAAGCAATGCTCCTAAACCCTTGGGCAACACCCAAGTCCTGACTTTAAGTACTGTACTGAGGTGTTCAAGGAGTGGATTGTGACACATCTATCAATATGTATCGATTGTGACACCACCTTCAGGAGCGTGAGACAGCATTGGACTTTCTGGTGTTATTTAGTTACTTCCTTTTCCCGACTAGAGAATCCAAACACCATCACTGACTAATCAAATGCCAAGTAGACTGTGTCAATTTCTTTTTAGACTGTTAAAGCCAAATAACAGCTAATTTGAAGTGCGAATAGGGCTCATGTTCCACTGGGTACAACTTGCTCACTGTAGTGTTTGAAGACGAGGTCACGGGGGGAAGAAAATGCCCATCATGTTTCAAGAAACAGCAAACACATTTGCACATTAATGCAGTAAAACAACATAATGTTTCCCAATGTGTAAGTCAGACTGAGCATTGGATGTAAACATAATTAGACACCTTTTAGTTTCGACTGTCCACATTGATTTATTGATGATACATTTCCCAAATGTGCGTGGAGAATCTTCACACTACATGGTCTTTTAATTTTGGCCCATCAGGCTCAGTCTCTCTACTCTGCAGTAAATAGATTTCATAGCTGCCAGCCATATAGCTCAAACTACTGAATTCATTCTGCTTCTGCCAGTCCCCCTTTCTTTTTCTTTTTTTCTTTCTTTTCTTTTTCTTTTTTTTTTTTTTTTTGTTAAGCCAGACCTTTAAAGCTCACAGATCAACATTGTATAAAAATCACCCAGAAACTCCCTAGATGAGTCTGCTCTGGACCTGTTGGCTAAGAAAACATGGGTGCTGATTGAGCACACAAAGAGAACGTAAAACGGTCCATTGCCTTTGCTCCTGTTAATTTCTTGTGTGGGTGGCATCGTGCAATGGGTACTGAGGCTAAGTGGAGGTGGTACTAGCAGCTTAGACAGTCCAAGTGATTGATTTCCTCTTTGGAAGCAAGGCATGTGGTGCGCACATCCGCTGTTTCTGCCTGACACTGTGGTGTGACTATGTGATCTATGGGCCACCTGTGGCCAAGACGTCTGATTTATACGATGACACAGAGCTGACTGTGCCAGTGTTAGTAATGGCTCTGTGTGCACTGCAAGCCCCCTGAAGAACAGTTTCACCCAGCTACATAGGGAGAGGCCCTTCCACATCACCTGATGTACAGGGAAATGTGATTGCAGCGGGTTTAGGACCAATCTTTTTCGATCATTGAAAAACTGACATTCATTTTTCACAGTAAGTGCTTGCAGCCTCAAATAGAAAGGTACGCCAAAGCCCCCGTATTTGCATCCAAATAAATCACTGTGATGGGAAAGGCTCGTGAAATATAGGGATATAGCAATGAGGCAATACATCCAGCTCATGGTCAGGTTTCAGCACCAGCAGAACACAGGCGGTACTTCTCGTTAGTTCAATTTTCTTTCCTTAATTTGAAAAACGTAGCTAAATTTGACAGCGTTTACTGTGCTGTAGTGTTACTCTAATCTAAAAACTTTAATTGGGAATTTAAGATTTAGAATTGTGAGCAATGACGTTTTGACCACCTGCTAATGAATGCACATATCCATAACACTTTGTTCATTAGCCCATGTTCACATTTTAGATAACTGATTATTTAGATGTGCGTGCATAACAGGCTGCTAGCATAACACACCTGGAGCAAGAGCAGATGAACTACAAGCTAGGCAGTCGAAAACTCTGCAGTTCTGCCTCTGAACACTTTTGCTGAATGTTTTGACAGATTTCTCATGTTCCCACCTTTACAAGCAAAAGACCTGTTGCATTTGTGACAACACTGTCGGCATCGACTCTAGCAAAGTGCAACCGCACTTTTGAGCATTTCATTCTCTCCTCCATCTGCACAAAGACCAGGATCTGTGTGGTATGTGCGAGACAGAGCTCCCCTCGCCCCTCACATGCAGGCTCTGAGAGAGATAAAGAGACAACTGTCCTCAGGATAGGGAACAGGGGAAATGCCTTGGATTAATGGCTTAATCAGTAACAGAGGAGGTCAGATAAAATGTGAAAGATAACTTTTATGTACCAATAGTAAATATATTTTCTTAATTTTTTTCAGTATTGAAAATAATACAGATAACATTGGAGTTTACTGATACTTAAATCGTTTTGCCCTGGAGCCTGTTTAATTATCAGATTTCAGTACCCATTCCCATTTAGCATCATATTTTTGCTGCTGATCAAATACAGTTGTTAGGATAGAGTGCCACTGTTTCTGTTGTTTTTAGGCACAAATAATCATGGTATCCTGTTAAATTAACACTCTCTATTAATGTTACAGACAGGCAGGAATGATAATGTTAGCTGCCAAGGCTCCAATGTTAACATTATTGTTTTATTACTGAGCTGTAGCCTTTGGCAGCTACCTTAATGATAAAAGACAGCTAATGTTACTGTCAGGCAATTGCGAATGGTGAAATGAGTAAAATGAACGTGTCCGTCAGCCAGGTTAACTTTAATGATAACTATTTAATACTTCAGTGTTGTTGAAATGGGAGCTTTACTGACCTCTCAGAATTCCTCATGAAGAGTAACTCAGTGTTATGAGCCTCAGCTACTTCAGCTGCTAGTGAGGGGAGGGGCTGTGCGCCTCGCTGCCCACGGTGGTGCTATGTGAAGTTGTCCGTTAGCTGGAGGAAGAGAAGACTATCATAAATTAGTATCTAAACTGGTCGTCCATTAGTATCTGAGAGGTGATTTTTCTTTGACAACCCAGTTGCTTACTTGTTCAGAGTACGGCAGTGAGTATTCATTTGGAAAATATTTAAGGGCCATGAACAGAACCCTGGTGGACTCCAGTTTGCTTCATTGCTGAAATTCACATATGCAGTGAGGTGATGCCTATAACTTCTAGCTACAGCTTCATTCAGACACATGTGATTTATTACTTTCATTGGTGTGGCCTCACCAGCCTCAATGATGTTATAACAAGCCAGAATGAATACTGTCAGAAAGGTTACATTTCTATTTAGGTCTTTATTACACATACACATAAAGGTGTCACACCAAATTACTTATCTGTAGGTTTAAGCTTTACGTACTAAAAAATATAACTATAGTGCTTAATATTCTTGCACCCTTTTCTCAAGCGCCAACTCACTGATTTTGCCTTCTGTCATTTATATAACATAGTTGTACGCTGTAACTGAAGATTACACTTCTGGTTACCGCAGGGACCAAACGTCAAGCTAACTTTTTAGTTCTTATTGTAAATTACCCAAGTCCCAAAGCACTCCAGTCCAACACCCTCACACTACTGCAGTGTAGATCTTTATTTCCTGTGAAGTGTTCTTACCGTTAGGGGTTGTCTCCATTAATCTTTTTTTTGTATTAAGTTAGAACCTGTCAGCAGCGGTATGAATTACATTAAACATTTTTAATGTATTTTATTTTTAGATCTGACCAGCAGTGGCAGCCCTGTGCATAAGCTATGATGTACAAAGTAACCGTAAAAACTGAAGGCTATGGCCCATTAACAGAACTCCAGCGCCCACAAAATGAGCCTAAATATAATGTTTGGCACAATATATGACTGCAAAAACTCAATGAGGAAAAAGCAACAAGGAAGAGTATGACTTGCTGATATCCTTGAACCACAGGTCACAGTTTAAACTGAATTATGTGCCTGTGGAATTTTAATGTTGTTGACAAGCAAAACTCAGCAATAGAAAACCGTATTGCTCAAGATGTTCATTAAAGTTGATGCAAGTACTGTAAATAGCTGAGGAGTTTAATATTTTCTGCCAGAAATAAGATTTAAAGAGCTTGAAAAGCTAAAGCCTCGGTCACAATCAGTAAAACTAAGACTAGTAATTGGTTGTTTATTGATTGTGGAAGGCTGCCAGCTGTCGTTGGATCAAATCAGCTACAAAGAAGGCGCCACACTAAAATCCTCCTTGTGATTCGATCTCTCACAAATTGCATAGATGACACTTAACTTCTCATGAATATGCGTTAACTAACAACTGAGCTGTAGTGAAATTTGAAAAAAAAAAAAAAAACATAACTTAAACTGGAAATACAAACTGTTTTCTTTTATAATAAACGTTTTTCTTTTCCTCCTGAAGCCAACATGTTTCATAAAGGAGCAACTTTTACTTTGAATGCAAAATGGCCTTCATTTCCTGCATAACACTCTTTATAGTTTCACAACTGCTTAGCAAGTAGGTGTGCATATGCATCTTTGTGTCCAGTTTCACTGAGCTACAGCACTACAGCAAGCAACTGGTTCCCACCACTTGTTAACCGGTTGGGGAATGCACATTTTCCTAGGAAAAGTTGGTTTCCAAGGGGTCGCTGACTGGTTTCTAAGCCTGTGTGACTGGGGTTATATTATTTTAATAGATTACAGTTACCAACCAGTTTCTTGGTCTGTGTGACTATGCTCTATTAACAGTAGGTATTGATGACTTCATAAAAAAATCAATTGCAATTAACAGTTTAAAAGGAATAAGGAAAATGTATGTTTTAAGAAATAATTGAAACAATACAAATGCTAAGATAACCTTTATTAGTCCCACACGTGGGAAATTTGTTAATATACCATATTAAGCTTTTAAAAATATCCAAAATACAGTCAGTAACAATAGGTCATTTGCCTCTAACATGAATGGGATCATTTAATTCAGTGGATTAAAATGAGAACTGATGACTGTTTTTGTTAAA